CTTGAGATATTTTTTCCATTTCAGAAGAAATGATAGATGTCAATAAACCAGTAACAAGACTCCCTATACCCAATTTTGTAAGAGATGAAATAGATGTATCTAATTTATTTTTCCAATATATATCATCAAAGGACATTTTTTGAGAATTATATATTGATTGATCTAACCAATACCTCTCTGCTAACAAGTCTAAAGCCTTCTGGTTTAAAATATCTTTTAATATTAACCGAATTTGCGACTTTCCAAAATTCTCAACAAACTTTTTAAAACGATACTTTAAAATATCTACTAATTCAGCCATATAAACTTCTTGAGTGAGAAATCGATCATTATATTCAACTTTAAGCTGATATGACACTTGCTCTAATTCCAATCTAATAATTCCATATATATTTTGTAAATTTTGTACCATTGAATCTTCAAGTATTTGTATAAGTTTTTTTTTCAAAGTGGATATTCCAAAAAAACAATCATTATTACTAAATTCACAAAAATTGGAGAAATATTCTTTTTCATTTTTATCTATTAAGTCAGAAACATTGATATTTTTATCAAAAAAAGATTGAGAAAACTTAGAAATTACTCCAACATAACCAAGATTAAGAGGATAATTCATATTTTTTAATATACTAAATCCCCTTTCTGGGGTAACAAGATCCATTTTAGTCACTACACCAATAGTTCTAATACCATGGGGATCAACTTCACGACTAGCATGTAATGCTACTGAATTTGCAAGATCAACATCTGCTGAAGAAACAGCAAGAATAATATTAGGCTCTTGAATATACTTCTTACATAATGTTACAATTCTATCTTTTAAGGAAGAAGGCTGGTCTTTACTTTGGATTTGAATATACCCAGGTAAATCTATAAAAGTAAGATCCGGAACATTTGGTGAAAATATATTTAGTCTAATAGGTTCATCAGAAATATAATCATTTTCTGATACGGAATAATTTAAATCAGCAATTACTTTTTGAATCTGATCAAAACTGACTTTTTTTTGCCCTAAATCAGGAAATTCACCATACTCATCAGATTCAAATGTATGAACTAAGGTTAATTCAATAGGCCTTCTAGTAACCATATCTGTCCCTCTAAAAAATCAAATTTATTAATTATTATTTGATTTCTAAAATATACTTAGGTAAAAATTCACGGCCTATAATAGCTTCGAGTACAGAACTTTTACCAGAACTTTGAGAACCAATTACTACTATGTTTGGTAATGCAAATTTTTCATTTTGTTTTATTTGTTGCAATATATTTCTTATTTCAATCAATCCTTTAGTTAACAACATTGTTTGACTATTATCAGAAGTATTATGTAACATGCAAATTTCGTCATTTCTCCTTTGTCTAAGATTTAATGAAAAATAACTAGATAATATAATATCATATAGTCCTGATATACTATAACTATTTAGACAAACATTAATATATAAACAAAATCATACAAACTATCTTCTTTTACAAGAGAACATTTCAAAAATGTTTTTTTAAAAATAAAAACTCCAATTTTTGATAAAATATCTTGTTTAATACACTCCAAAATAGTTTTAAGCAAATTTATATAATAATTAAACATGTTATTAAAATAAGATTTAAAAACTAAAACACTTCATAAAAAGAAAGAATAATTATTTTATATACCTTCAATTTTATAATTTAAATAATTGATTCCTCCAAAAAATAGAAAACCTCCTACAATAAAAATCCTTAAAATTTTATAAACGATTTTCGAAATCAATGAAAAAACTGAAATCCTTGTAATAGAAACACATTGAGATCCGTTTAATACATTATTAAATCCCTTTATTAGCCTTTGTTTCATATTTTTATTCATAAAAGATTGAGTTACGAAAAATCTTGTACATTCATTTGTTCTATAACAGTTTTTTCTTAGAAATCTCCATGAAGTATTGGAAGTCAATGTATATCTTCTGAGAAATATCTTCAAAATTGCAACCATTAAGAAAAATATTACATTTTTTATTATCGATAAACTTTCGTTTATCAATAAACAAGATAAAAAATATTTATAAATTAACAAAATGTAGAATATTTAAACACTAGAAAAATAATTAAAAAATATATTCATTTAATAAATAAAATATAATTTAACTATACTTTTTTTTTTTGAAATAATAAATTTACAAAATAACATTAAAAATTATAACTTTTGTTACATTTTATATAAAAAATAAAAACATTATTTATAAAGGAGCTTTTATAAAAATCAAACAAAAATATCAATTATACTAATGATTAATAAAAAATAACTCAAAAATTTAATATTTTGAAATATTACTTAAAAGATATAAAATATTGTATACATTTTTTTATATAACTATTATATTACCTATATTTCATTTAATCTAATAATATTTAAATCTATAAACTTTTATTATATTATTTTCAAAAAAAACTTAAACATATATTTAATACTTTATTATAATTTTTTTAAAGATAATTTATTTTCTTTGAATAAAAACTAAAATTAAAAATTTAAATCTTAATTATATCAATTCTAACTCTTTCTGATATATTATGAGGAATCATTATATCATTTGGATCAATATCATTTGATTCAAACTTTCCTAAATCCTGAGGCTTTATATATATAATAGCATAACTTCCAAAATCATGTTTTTTAGCCAAATAACCAGGGTTTAAAACAACAGTATTACAAACAACCTATATTTAATTAATTTAAGCATAACAAAACTTTAATTCACTTTGGCAAAATACTGAAGATCACTAGGTAATATTAAAATATCAGGTAATACATGAGAAATTTCTCCTAATTCTATAAAAGCAATATCTAAATTTGCTCCACTAATCGAAGGCTCATATGCTGTACCAGGAAACAATGGATAAAAATGCCTTTGTTGTAATACATGATATGATAATCGCTCTAAGGTATTTGAATATAAAGGAGATCTTAAAACTTAACAGATAAAATTAAACATTAATTTACTCACCTAATAATTTCAGATTTAGATAAAGACATGAGAATATCATTTGAACTAACACCGATAATAATTTCATTTAGAGAAAACATAGCGGGATTAGGTATGCATTTTACATTCTACTAGGTTCAAAAGACTTAAACTATTCCCCTAGGAAAATTACCTTTCCTAATCCTAAAGATCTTTTATTGAAACAATCTTGAGGCCATGCAGCATGCTTAGAACAAGCATCTTGAATATGAGGAACAATAACTATTAAACAATTCAGTTTCGTAATCTTAGAGCTAATATAATATTTAAACAAATCATCTAACGACCCTATATCGTCTTTTAAAGATATATTAAAATTTCCAGAAGAAATCAAAGGATGTCTTAAATCCAAAAATGGACCTATCTACTAAAAATTAATAAAATTTAATAAAATTCAAACATACTAAAATAACAACATCTGGACTCATTTCTTCTATTTTATTACATAACTCAATAAATGGTTCATATAGAATATTATCATTAACCGTATACGGACCAGCAGCAACAAATATTTTTTGAGGAATACCATTCAATGAAGTATTATATTTCTTAAAATCAAATAAACTAGTAACAGGAAAAGGTAAGAGAGGTAGCATTAAAAACTCATGAACAGAAAAATAAACACCAGTAGAGTTAATTCCTTTAACTCCCAATATTTGACCCGGAAAAAGAGAGTAACTATCAAGACTATCAATATGCAATAAAACACGACTACCTGAACCAAATCTACGAGAAGTTTCCAAAATTATAGAAGTAGTATTCAAATAACCTTCAGAATCAGAATCACATATAATTCTTCCTACAACTATTATTTCATTCTAAAAAACTTAGAATAAGTATAAATATAAATAAATAAATATAAATATATACATGTGATACATAAGAAGGATTCCCGAAATCATTTTCAGAAAGATCATAATACTTAATTAATTTATCAGTAAATGCATCAATCTTATCATCAAGAACTAAATACATTAAAAACTAATAATTATAAATATATATAACCTTCTGAAATCTCTGATAACTTTTGATACATTGTTTTAAAAGAATATTTCCTTGGGTCAAAATTAGCAGTAAAAAATATTTTCCTCTGTTTTTCTTATATTTATTTAATATAAATACATCAATATTGAAAAGATCAAACCATTTATATAATTTTTAGTATCATTAAAAAGAATATGTGAATTAAGAGTCTCCATAATTTCCCCAGAATTTATAAAATTAGGAGTGAAACTAGTTAATATACGATTATCATTTTCCATAGAAACTAAAGATTTGTGATCTAAAGAATTATGCAAAAATTAATTTAATAACTAAAAACTTTTCCATACCCAAAACTGAAGAACTATGTATTTTTTTTGAATTCTGAGAGATATTAGGTATAATATTTGAAAGCCTATTATTAAAAATTTTAAAAATAAAGGATTTAAAACTTACATATTATCAAATTCCAAAGCTTTGCGAGACAAGTTTGAAGAAAAATGAAGATTACTATAATTCTATGATTAAATTAAGCATATAAATATATTAAAAATATCATTATTACTTTATTTTGAGCTAACCGTTTTGCCTTTAAATTGTTTTTTTTTTCAAGCATACATTGCATATCTTGTTTAAAAAGTAGAATATTTTCAAGTATTAATTCTGGTTCATTACCCATTTTTAAACACCAGGACTCCCATCTGTAAAAAAGTTCTATTACAGAAATTGAATGAAGTTTTAATATAGACAAACATTCCATCAAGATTTCAGGCCTATTTTCAATAGCACTTCCAAAATAATGAAAAAGTTCATCCTTCAAGAAAGTATCTGAATTTACAAGTGACATTTTTCTAAAAACTAACGTCAAATTAAATCATTGCTTAAAACATCTTAAATATTCAAAAATATCTAATATTTAATATTCAAAAATAATTTTTATACTTACCAACAAAAAGTTACTATTATCAAAAACGATATTTAATATATAATACGAAAAATATTTTAAAAATATAAATGATTAAAAAAAAAAACAGAGGTAAATTATGATAATAGAAGAAAATCATACATAAACCATTTTCTAGCTATATTTCTACCGACTAATATTCCGAAATTACAAAATTTAATAAAAAAAGACCCAGAATCCTATAGAGAAGATTTTTTCATACAATGGAGACATTATGAAGCAATGAGAGATATTTTCATAGAAAATACAAATGAAAAAAACGAGGATTTTTTAAATCTTATTATATTTATATCTCAAGTAAAAACCTTCCTAAAACTTTCTCTTTTAACTTTTTACAATAGATGTGCTCATGCTTTCCTAAAGAAACAGAGAAATTTCCAAACGATATGGCTACATTATTATTGAATTTTAAAAATAATCTACACAGCGAAACTAAGGAAAAGATCATTCAAGCTCTAGTTCTTTTAAGGAATAAAAATATAATATCTTCCGCTTATTTACTTAAAATTATTTTTCCTGTTTTATCTTCGTCTAACACTAAATCGCTTCATATGCGAATATTTGCAGTAATCTTATCAGAGATAAAAAATGCAAATCTTAAATCATGCAATAACAAAATAAATAAAATGGGGAAAACAATCTTATATGAAATAATTCAGAAAAATAAAGATGAATCGTTTTTTGGATTCTGGGCTGTCAAACTCTGCCAAAAATTATGGAATTTAAAATTATGGAACGATACGTTTACAGTAGAAATCATGAAAGAAGCTGTATTACACCCTAATACCAAAATAATGATAGCAGCAATCAATTTTTTTCTAAGTATCGATAATTCATCAGATGACAGTGATAATAGTGAAGAAAATAACCAAAAAAATATAAATAATCTTAATCACAAGTTATCTATAAATAAAAAAAATAAAAGAAAAATGAAAAAGATTTCAAAGACTAATATAAGAAAGGTTTATATTTATAAAAGTAAAAATCATTCATATCTGAAAAATCATAGAAACGCAATAAAAAAAAAAAATCTATATTAAAGAATTTTAGTGCTATTGAACTATTACAAGATCCTCAAGGATTTGCCGAAAAAATATTTTCCAAATATTTTTCAAAAAAAAATTCTCATCTTATTTTAAAACATAAATTACTATTATTACAACTATTAACTAATTTAATCAATGCACACAAACTTAATATCTTAGGAATATACACTCTTTTATTAAAATACCTCAATCCAAATCAAAAAAATGTTACACATTTTATTACATGTACTGCTCAAGCTTGTCATGAACTTATCCCTCCAGACGATATTGAACCTATAATTGAAAAAATAGCAGCAGAATTTGTTATTGATAGTGTTGGATCAGAAATAGTCGCTTTAGGGTAAATATCAATTTTATATTTGATATTATAAACACTAATTCATATTAAGACTAAACGGTATAAGAGCTATTTGTTCTAAACAACCTTTAGCAATAAAGAAGGAGCTTCTTCAAAGTCTTTCAAAATACAAGAAAAGCAAATATAAAGATGTAATGTTAGCTGCTAGAAGTTTGATAAAATTATATCGTGAAGTTGCACCAGAATTACTCGAAAAGAAAGATAGAGGAAAAACCACTAATATATCTCTAAATAAAAGAAAATCCTTAAAGTTTGGAGAAGGACAAGATATTCAGAAAAGTATTGAAAGACTAAAATTATTAGAAGAATGGATAAAAAAAAACAAATATAACGTAAATAACTATAATACAAATAGAGAAAATGACATAAAAGAACAAATGAATAAAAGAAATATAATTATAGATACAGAAGAACAAGCTAATACTGGTAATAATATTATTTTAAATGAAAAAATAATCATGATAAATTTGCAGAAACAAAACTATCAAAATATACAAATAATAATGAAGATATGTCTAAAAATAATTTCCAAAGGATAGCAATTAAAAAAAATACTAATAACCCTCATGATTTGGCTATTTCTACGGTTTTTTCTCCCTTAAAAATACAATTAGTAACTAATATAAAGATTTTTACTCTTGATTTTTCGGAACTTCAAGAACTTAAAGAGCAAAAAAATATATCAATCAATAAAAACCAAAGTCTATTGAAGTATTCTAATAATATTATATAAATCTTTTTCTAAATAATTATAGGAGAAAAATTACACATGAATATATAGATAATAATAATGATATAGAGAAGTATTATAAAAAAAGTAGAAATTATGAAAAAAATACAAACATTGAAAAGAATCATAAAAATAAAACAAAATTTATATCTAGAAAAATAGGGCAAACAAAAATAAATCACTCTACTACAAATAAAGAAAAATCCCGTAGAAAGAATTTTATGATGTTTATACATAAAAAATTAACTCAAAAAAACAAGCGAAAATTAATAAATAAACAAAAATCAAAAAAGCATGACACCAAAAAGAAATATATATATTAATTTTAAAAATTCAAACTAAATTTAACCATTTAAAAAAATATAAATTCTACAATTAAATAACAACGCATAAAATTTAAAAACATCGTACATCTAAAATTATTATTATTATTCCTAAAAAAACTTGTTTTGTTTTTTTCATAAAGATCTAGATGTATAATTTTTGAATAATTTCTAAAAAAAAACATTTCAAAACATACTTTTTTTTTAAAATTCTATTTGCCCTAGAAATTTAAATGACCTAAAAAACAATTTCTATTAAAAAATTCAAAAATTCAATGGATGAAGAAATCACCATCACAGAACTTGTTCATAAATTCAAACTAAATGGAAAATTTGATTCTTTAAGAAAGGAGATCTTAACAATATATAAAAATTCGGTAATTTTTCTCTATTAAATATATCACTCTTAATTAACTAGAATACTGGATTACAACTTAAATCTAAACTTGAAGAAATAATTAAAAAAGAAATAGACAATAATCACACATTATTTACTCAAGATCGTGGAAAGACTGTTATAATGATCAGCAATATAATTGATAAGTGAGTTATCTAAAATTTTATATGCTTAATTTATTTTTTTTATAGAAGTGAAGTTTACAATCATGCAAGAGAATTAATGAATGACACAATATTTATGAGCAAAGAATTTCGAACAAGAGTAAATATAATTATGCAGGAAATCAAAAATGATCTTGAAAAAATAACAGAAAAAGGAAATACTTAGTATTGAATAAATCAATCATTCACATAAAAAGGTAGACAATTAATCTAGAAAAATATAAACAAGACAGAAATAAAAAAATAGTGAGATATCGTAACTTATTAGAATAACTTAATAATTCAATATTCTAGTAATATGATCTATAATTTCAAACCTATTTTTTATTATAATATACTATCAATGAACTATTATTAGAAATCTATAAAGTAATTTTTATATATTAAATTCTTTCGTTTACATTACTGATAAAAGCAATATTAGTTTGAATCAAACATTATTTTATATTAAATACAAATTTAAACATTTCTTGAAATAGGAATTTATTTTATAGTCAGTAATTAAAATATTTTTTCTTAAAACTCTTAATGAACATTCTATATCATTTTAAAAGATTATGATGCTAACTTTTAACTTCGGTATATTGTCAAAAATGTTTTATTCAAAATAAATTTCAGCTAATTATTATAAAAAAATGGAATGTAAATATATACAGATACATAAACTTTGTTGAAAAAACCAAAATTTATTGAAATAGTACAAAATTATTTTTAAATATTAGTTTCTAGGAAATTCCTATATTTTCTAATAATCATATTCCTTTAACTTTTTTTAAATCATTATATTTTATACAAATATAGCAGATCTTTAAGATGGTCATAGACTATTAAAAATATTATGCATTTGTGTTAAATAATATAGTATAAATTGTATATAATAATTGAATCCATAATTCTTAAGAATTGAGAATTAATTATTAAAAAAAGGAATTCTAATTAATGATAAATATATCATACTCTATAGCATTAAAAATTTGAAATTTAAAGTTTCAAATATGAATATTTAGATTTATGGGATCAATAATAAAAAAAATTAACTAAAATCATCAATATATTGTCATATTATTTCAATACAATGTATTTAATCAAAAAAACATTTTAAATCAAAATATTTGATATAAAAGAAATATAAATATTTCAAATTGAAATTAATTTCCATTTTCAATATCTCAGATATTTCATATATTTTCTAATAAAAATTTATATATTGTTATATAATATAAACTTCAATAAATTCTTAAAAAGTATCATTATTTTGTATTTTCAATTAAATATTAATTCTTATAACAAATTTAACAATTATGTTTTTTTATATTTTATTTCCTCATAAATTGATACAAAAAGTTTTATCAATTAGAAAAGTATAACATGTAAGCTTGAAAATAAAAAAAAAACAAAGTAAAAACTACTAAATCTTCATTAAACACTATATTAATATTAAACAGCTTAAAAATTTTATACGTATATTCGAAGATAAAATTTACTAAAAAAAGTCAATATAAAAAGTTAAGTATTTTCTAACATTTGACTTATAATTTTATAAATTATATTACAAAAACAGATTCTAAGAAAAAAATATCACCTGTACTTTTCGAAATGCAATCATAATCAAATATACCTCTGAAAAAATCAATAATTTCAATATTCAAAAAAAAACAAAAACCAATTTTTTTAAAAACTTTATAACTAAACTTACTATAATTATATATTAAAAAAATAACATTTTGAATTATAAAAAATTATTAAAAGCATTACGTTCATAATTTACTATTAAAATATGAATACAATTATAAAAATTCCTTTTAGAAAAAATAAATTTCGAAAAAAATTAAAAATATAAAATAATTTTTGATATAAAAAAACATAAGCCATAATTTTATAAAAAAATAAATGCGGAATTCATTTCAAAAAAGATTATTTAGTAATTCTAAAAAAGCATACTTTCATATTAAAAGTTCAAATGAATTAAAAAATGTAACTAGTACATCTAGAGTACATAGCTATACCAATATTATATAGGAACATTTAGAATTGAACAAATCATTTATTCTACCTAACGGAGTTCGTATTGTCTCTAAGGCTATTCCTGGACATTTCTCTACTCTTGGAGTATATATTGATGCTGGTTCAAGATATGAATACGATTATATTAGAGGAGCAAGCCATTTTATTGATAGACTTTCATTTAAGGTTAAAAATTATCTTATTAAGTATTAAATCTCACCAAATAAGGCAACAAAAAACCGAAGCGCAGAAAATATGATAAATAGTCTTGAATCTTTAGGAGGAAATTTCATGTGTTCATCATCTAGAGAGTCATTGATGTACCAAACAGCAGTTTTTAATAATGATGTAGAAAATATGATCAAATTATTATCGGAAACCATTCTTGATCCGATTATTACAAAAGAGGATTTAGAAGAACAAAAACTTGCAATACAGTACGAAATTAATGAAATAACATCTAAGCCTGAATTAATACTTCCGGAAATGCTCCATATTACTGCTTATAAAAATAATACTTTAGGAAATCCCTTACTATGTCCAGAAGAAAGACTTCCTTTCATTTCTCTTTCAACTATTTCTAAATATCGAAGTCTATTTTATCGTCCAGAACGTATGGTTGTTGCATTTGTAGGAGTTGAACATAGTAAGGCTAGAGATTTAGCAGAAAAATATTTTGGAAATTTTAAAAATAATGAAATGTCTTTCAATCCTTTTACCCTACAAGATAAATCATTAAAATTGCCATTTCAAGAAAAACAATTTCCAGAAGGTACATCTATTTACACCATCTTTATCTTATAATAACCCAGAAAGAAATATTTTTGCCTGCACATTATACAGGGGGAATAATGAATATACCTTTGTCAAAACCAAATCAAGAATTTACTCATATCTATATTGCTTTTGAGGGCATACCTCTTTCAGACCCTGATATCTATGCATTAGCTACTCTTCAGATTCTTTTAGGAGGAGGAGGATCTTTTAGTGCAGGTGGCCCTGGTAAAGGAATGTATTCAAGACTTTTCTTAAACATATTAAATCAATATGGATGGATAGAAAGTTGCGCATCATTTAATCATAGTTACACTGATTCAGGAATTTTCGGAATATCTGCAAGTAAGATTTTATTTTTTCATTCTATTATTTTAATGATAAAGGTTGTAGACATGATTCTGTTCATGCACTGATTAATGTTATTTGTCAAGAATTGACATTTACTATGCAAAAAGGACGAAAGGGTATAAATAAAATTGAAGTAGAAAGAGCAAAAAATCAATTAAGGAGTTCACTTATGATGAATCTAGAAAGTAAAATGATTATCTTAGAAGATTTAGGAAGACAAGCTCAAACTATGAATGAAAAAAAGATAACTGCACAGGAAATGTGTGACAAAATATCGTCATTAACAGTAAATGATTTACAGAAAATTGCAGAAAAAGTTTTTACAGGCTTAGTAAAAAATAAAGGACAAGGAACAGGACAGCCTACAATTGTGACTCAAGGAAAAACTGAAAAAGTCAGTAATGCAAGTGATATTATAAAACGCTATGGATTAGGAAAATAAATACTAAATGTTTTCCCCTTGAATTTACAATATACATGTTTTTCATATTCTATTAGTTCTTTAAAGCATTTTTTACTAATTTAACTGTTTAAAACCCATTAATTTAAATATAATACTCGAAATTATATTCGATATATATGAAAATATCGTGTATTATTCATAATTTTGCGCTTAGATTATATATATTTTAAAATTTTTAAATGTCAAAACATATTACAGAAAAACATCTTTATATTTTTTTATAGCTTAATATAATTGATGTCTAAAAATTATAAACATCCATTTTTTCTCTATTTCAACTATATTTTGTAATTATTTAAAATATTAACATCATTTATAAAGAATAAGTTTTTAATAACAAAAAAAGTTTAAATTTCTATTATCTAATTTCAAATAAATTTAAACATAATATTTATCTATTAACAATAATGTGTCAAAAAATAGTTTAAAATTTCTAAATTATAAAAATCTATTAAAACCTTAAATTATTTTAAAAATTTAAATCCTAACATTATTTGACAATTTAACTAAATTGAAAAATTCTACAAAAAAGACCTTTATAAAGTTACTAAAATAAATGATATTAAGTTATTTATCATTCATTAAAATTTGATATTTTAAAAATAAATCTACGAAATGGAATTTAAAAATCTATAAAATATATTAAATAATATAAAAATATAAAATACATGATGGAAATTTATACATATTAAGAATATTACAAAATCTATTATGTAATGAAGATATTTGGCACTTTTCTAATAACTAAATGTAGCAAAAAATATACAAAATTAAAAAAAAATAATTATAATTTAAAGCAAATATTCAAATTTAATACCATAAAAAAAACATTTTTTTCCATATATTTAAAAAATACTCAAAGAGAAAACTTAGAAATAACTAATCAGACAATAAAATACCAGAATAAAGACAAAATAAAGAAAAGATTTAATGAACTTGGGATACAACATATTAGTTCATCTTTACATTCACAACTTTTTCCTCATGAAACAGAACAACCTGATAATGAATTAATCGAACTTTCTCGTAAGCATTTAACTGAACATAATTTATTAGGGAAAAATACAAAACCTACTGAAGATATTGAATTTGATCTTCCACCTTTACAAGGAAAAAATTTAGATGAACATTTCTATAGAATAGCAATGGAGATTTCAGAGCCTTATTTAAGTTACTCGAAAGAATTCGCTTCAATAACTTTACCAGCTAAACCAAATTCTTGGATAATAAGATCAGGTTGGACACAATATAACCTTGACGGAACTACAAAACCTGTAGAATATCCTAGTGAAAAATCTATGGTATTTGATGTGGAAGTACTATATAAAGACAATCCCTTTGCTGTTATTGCATGTGCAGCAGCAGAGAATGCTTGGTATGCATGGTTGTCTCCATGGCTTATTGAAGAAACAAAATCACCTAGACAACTTATTCCTATAGGAAATATTGGGAAACGAATAATTATTGGACATAATATTGGATATGATAGGACTCGAACAAAAGAAGAATACAGTATAAAAAAAAAAGAAAATGCATTCATAGATACCATGTCTTTACATATTGCAGTAAACGGAATGTGCTCCAGACAAAGATCTGTCTGGATGAAACATAAAAAATACAAAGAACTAAAAGAAAAATTTCAGAAAGAATCATTAACACCAACACTTATTGAGTTATTAGAGCAATTAGAAGAAAGTGATACACAAGAATTATGGATGTCTAAAAGTTCAGATAATAGCCTTCAAGAAGTAGCAAAACTTCATTGCAATATTAAACCAAATAAACATATTAGAAATTTATTCGAAAAACTTGATAAAAAAAGTGTTCGAAATCAACTCAATATGTTGATGAATTATTGTGCTAACGATGTGGACATTACTCATAAAGTTTATAAAAACGTTTTTCCATCATTTTTAGAAGTTTGCCCTCATCCTGCAAGTTTTGGAGCGCTTCTAAAAATATCTTCGTCATTTCTTCCAGTCAATAAATCCTGGAAATCATATACAGCTAAATCTGAGGAAATATTCCAGAATTTTTCTAAATCTATTCATGAAAGACTTGTAAAACTAATAAATAATTCACTAAATCAAAAAAACAAGGATACAATAAAAAACGATCCATGGTTAAAACAATTAGATTGGTCTATTAAACCTATACGAATGGTAATAGATAAAAAAACAGGCGAAAAAAGACCGGCAAAAAAACAAAAAAAGCCAGGATTTCCAAACTGGTATAAAAATCTATTTCCATCAAATGACAAAGCAATAAATATTACAGTCCGATCCAGAATTGCACCATTGCTATTACGACTAAATTGGGAAGGACATCCGTTATTTTGGTCTAACAATTATGGATGGACTTTTCGAGTTGAAGATAAAGAGACTATAAAAAATTTTGTCTCGAAAAACTTTGTTTTATGTGATATGAAAAAAGAATCAATTGATATTTTAAGAGATGATGTAGATGCTGTTTATTTCAAAATCCCAAACAAGAATGGCCCGTTTTCTCGCTGTGGCTCCCCTTTATCTAAAAGCTATATAAAGGCTTTTGAAGATGGCTTATTAAGTTCAGAAATTTCGTATGCTAGAGAAGCTTTGGATATGAATGCAGCATGTTCTTATTGGATTAGTTCTCGAGAAAGAATTATGTCCCAAATAGTAGTCTGGGATAATGAAATAGATATTGGACTTAATAGTCAAAACGGTTTAGGAATAATTCTTCCTCAAATAATTCCTATGGGAACTATTACTAGACGTGCAGTAGAAAATACTTGGTTAACAGCTAGCAATATAAAAGAAAACAGGGTTGGTTCTGAGTTAAAAGCGATGATAAGAGCTCCATATGGATTCAAATTTGTTGGTGCAGATGTCGAGTAAGCCCTATTCTTTATTATCCATATATTTACATCCCTAGTTCAGAAGAATTATGGATTGCTAGTCTTTTTGGTGATTCTCAATTCAGAATGCATGGAGCTACAGCAATTGGATGGATGACTCTGGAAGGAACGAAATCAGCAGAAACAGATATGCATTCCATTACAGCAAAAATACTCGGAATATCACGAGATGATGCTAAAGTATTTTCTATTAGAAATATTATATCATAACATTAATTTTTCAAGGTTTTCAATTATAGTCGAATATACGGTGCAGGCATTCGTTTTGCAATTCAATTATTGCAAAGATTTAATCCGAAATTAAGCGAAAAGCAAGCTAAAGAAATAGCAGAAAAGCTCTACAATTCTACAAAAGGAAAAAAATCGAAAATCAAATATATTTTTTCTAAAGAAAACGAAAAAAAAAAATCATCTACTTTAAAACAATATGTTCGGAAACAGTTTTGGCATGGGGGTACAGAAAGCTATGTTTTCAATATGTTAGAAGAAATTGCAAATCAAGAAGTTCCTCAAACACCGGTATTAGGTTGTTCTATAACAAAAGCATTATTACTTAAAAATATTACTCCAGGAAGATTTATGACGTCAAGAATAAATTGGGCAATTCAATCTTCTGGAGTAGATTACCTTCATTTATTAATCATTTCGATGGAATATTTAATAGAAAGATATAAAATTAATGCAAGACTGGTTTTAACAGTACATGATGAAATTCGTTATTTAGTGCATGAAGAAGATAAATATATTTTAGCTCTTGCTTTACAAATTAGTAATCTTTGGACAAGAGCCATATTTAGTCAAAAACTTGGAATTAATGATGTTCCACAGGTATTCTATTTATTAACTTAAAATACTATATTAATAAAATAAGTCATGTGCATTTTTTTCTAGTATAGATATAGATCATGTATTAAGAAAAGAAACAAATATGGATTGTATAACACCTTCAAATCCTGAAAAAATCCCGCATGGCGAATCATTGAACATTTATCAACTTCTAAAGAAATTATCTATTCTTCAAAAACATTTTCTAAAAAGGGGAACTCCTTCTTCAACTATTTCATCTTGGAACTATATAGAAAAGAAAACATTATCTAGCATTAATCAAAAAAACATATTATGGCTTAAAGCTCAGGCCATTAAAGATTCGAAGGAATTTGAAAAATTAGCACCCAATTAAAAACAGTCTATAAACTAATAATCAAAAATAAAAAGATTTCATTCTATGAACCAAATAATTAGTAAATTATAATATAAGAATACACAAATTACATATCATTTCTAAAATCCATATATATATTTAAATTTTATAATTTTTTATTAATAAAAACATATCCACTATTTAGAAATATGCTGCCCATCCTAAATTCATAAGACTAATATACCCAAAATATATACTCTAACCACAAAACAGCAATGCAAGATTATTCGGATTTGTAGCTTCATGTATTAACTCATTCACTGCAGCTTCAACACTCAATGTCTTCGATAGTTTCTGAGATACTATTAATAATGCTCTTTCTGCTTCAGCTCCATCAATGCTATTCTCTTTTACATTATTAAAATCATTATCAATATTATTAACCAATGTTTCATTTTCTTGTATTTTTCTAATTCTTAAAGGAGATATTGTCCTATGATATGTAAATATCCTATATTTTATAAATATAACTTCAAATACCAACTATACAATGGATCATATTTTAAAGTTTCCAATATACTAATAATATTAAATGCTTCTTCACGAAGCACGTTTAACGTAAATTCACAACATCTTCGAAAAACACCTTCTGTTCGTATAATACCCATACCATCTACAATATCTCTTGTTAAACGAAATGGCACAGTTTCTGGAATTGGCAAAAGTTTGCCCTAATTAATCACTTAAATCCAATATATTAAAATATAACAATTACAATACCTGATCAAAAGCAACACCTAAATCTATATGAACTACTTCTCCACTTGTCTTATCTATTAATATATTATGTCCATGTCTGTCACCAAGACCTAATACATAACCAAGCATCGAAATAACAGCGGTACTTCTTGTATAATTTAATTGCTTTTGAAACCAATCTTTAGGATCTGAAAAATGATCCATAAAAAAATGCCTCATAACAGGTTTAAAATGAGAAACAACTCTATTATATGTCTGAAATCTAATTTCCTTACTTTTTTTCGAAACACAATCTATTGCCTTCCTACATTGGTCAGGAGTCCAATCTTTTGGATTATATTTTTCATGAGCAGGATGTAAATAATCCTGAATAGGAAACGTATATAAAACCCATTCAAGAATGCCAGCATTTTTTGTAAGAGGAAGAACTTTATATGTACGTATACCCAAATTCCTCTGCCTAGTTAGACGATTCTTCTGAAGAAAAGCATGAACTTGTAGAAAAACTTGTTCCATAATAGCATCCTGACGAAGATCATCATTGCCTCCCTTAACCTAAAACTAATGTTAGCAGGAAAAAACTAAATTCTACCAAAAATTACCAATTGTTTATAAAATTTCCCATCAGAACTCACACATTCTATAACTTTTGGTAAACTAATACCTGAAGCAAGCATAAAATAAGGAGAATAATGTGAAATAACAGGAACATCATTATAGTTACAGTCACTACGAATTGATATATCCATTGTTGGAGGAGGAAGCCTGTATTTTGGAATATCTTCCAAAAATACATTAAACTTAGGATATACAGAAAAAGAAATTTTACTTGTTCCATATTCCTTTTTTTTCATTTTATAAATAGCAAAATCAGCATACGCGGAACAAAGATTCATAAACTGTCTAAGCATATCTCCTAAAGCATTAGGCAATGAAAGCTCAGATAAAACAGCATCAACAGCCTTTTTCCTTAGCAATCCTAATTTATCATCTTTATTAACTGTATGTCTTAACGAAACTAAATAAAACAAACTATGATAAGGATGATCAACGCATATATGTTTTATTAACTCATGTAAAATAAATTGAAAATAGCTCTTATTTTCAGAAAGCCTAGATGCAAGCTGAGTAAATAATCGCAAAAATTTGTGAGTGGCTATATTATAAATCAATTTACGCACTGTTTGATTAACAGCATCATTTTCAACGTTCGATAACCATAAACTCATACATCTAGAAATATTATGATCATAATTGTCGCAAGAAATTAAACTTCTTAAATAATTTTTAATACTCTTCCGTAAATAAATTTCCTTATTTTCGATCAAACGATTAAATTCTATATCATCAATATCAAAAAGCGCCTTTGCTTTATCTCGATGAAGAAGCAAAGCCTTTTTATCATAAAAAGAAGCATTAGAAATCATCTGATCTAATACTGCAAGTTCTTCAGATTTTTGTTTCCTCAATTTTTGAATTCTCTCAAAATCATCATGATTATTAAGTGATTCAAGCTGCTTATCACAGAAAAAACCAAACTCGTGAAATACATATCCAGCCTCATTCCCATACTTTTTATCACCTAACAACCTAACTGCATGTTTCAAATATTTTTCCATAATAAAATCCGATCTTTCTAATCTTAAAACTGATGTCCATGAAGCCTAGAATTTATCAATATAATAAAAAATTAATAACTCTTTATTACTAGCTGCGCAAGCAACTCTGGAGAAATTTCATGTTTTCTAGAAAGATCAATATCCTTATCACTAACTATTTCACGTAATAGTTTAACAGAATTAATTCTATCCCCTTGATCCCATAATACCCTTGATATTTCAATTACAACAGGAGAAAGAAGCTCAGAATTTACTTTTAAATCAAGTTTTAAAAGCTTTTCTGCATATGTAATTGCTGAAAACGCAATTTGTAAATTATCATTAATACGAGCCACGTGAGACAATTCTACAAGAGTTTTTATTAAACAATTTCGAATTAATGATTTATCAACAGAATACTTTATAAACGATGAATTCTTCAAAATAGAACTCAATAATACTTGTCTTAAAGATAAAATAGGTTCAATACTAACAAATCTCATAAAATTAGAAATAAAGAATATTAAACAAAAATTCTTACTTTATGCTGGGATTAGAGATAGATAACCGAGATTCCCAACGAAACCAAACATCAGCAAAAGATGAACACAAAAAAATCTCTTCAATTTCTGTAAGCATTATCAAACCAGTTATTCTTTTGTCAGATAAAACCGGATATTTCTCAAAATCTACCATCATAGAATACCCAATATCCAGAATATTAAAAAAAACATTTTGTTCCGCATCCTTATTGACTAACTGCAAAATATTATATATAACATGATCTAAGTTAGAACTTAATGGCGAACATGGAAGATCCCATTGTTCAAGTCTCCATGAGGAAGAATATTGATCCTTTAGAAAACCAACGGTTACATTATTTCTAAAATAAAAAAAGTTCATCCTCGAAAATGATCTAAAACCCAACATATCAAAAGCTTCCATTACTCCAAATACATGTTCATTCTTAGTCATTGAAGATGACATCCTATAATCATTTTCCAATGCAGCACCATGTAAAAAAAGACTCTTCCACCCATTTCCTTCAAATTTATGTCTAGAAAGTATGTTCTCTAAAGATACTGCATATGGTATCCCATAAAATGAATCAGGATCATTTATTTTTTTATATACAACAGTAAGAAGTTTAAGCATTTCATCATCAATAATAGAATCATTTGCTGTCCAATGGATATATATAAACAATAATGATGTTTCCCAAAACTGACACGAAGCGGCAGCAAGAGCAGCATTAAAATAATTTATTTCAAGTCGAAAATTCAAATCAAATCCAGAATAATGTATCTCGGATGGCTGAGACCGAAGATAAAGTATCATTTCTATCATTAAGCATATATGAGGACGATAAAAAGCATCTTCATATTGAGAAAAAACAAAATTCACAATTTCATTCAAAACTGCTATAATTTTAATACTTTCTCCAATATCTTTGTTGAGAAGCAAATAATCCACTGAAAAAATAAAGATTTTTTCTGAAAAACCTGTAACATGTTCAACAAGATCACCCAAACATCCAAATACAAAATCATTATTAAAATTATAAAGAATCGTCAAAAGTAAAAACTTAAGCCAATCGGAAAACAATATAGTCTTATCTTTCCAATAATATTCATTGAATTCTACAGAAAAATGCTCCAATGATTGATTTTTCTCAGATACAAACAGATTAGATATATATATAGTAGCAATATCTCTATACTCATAACCCACAAATTCATCAAACACTTCTGAAGATATCCTTTCAAAAATATTCCTTAACGTCTTTTCTACAATTATCAAAATAGTATGATCACCTTTATTCAAAAGAGAAAACACAGTCGATAAAATATCAAATCTAGGATCTTTAAATGTCCTTACTTTAAAACTAGACAGCTTCTTTCTGTTCATAAGTTCGAAGTAAATTGCTTTATTTATGATTTTATTTCTCACATACCATTGTCCTAAAACTCGTGCACCATAATGTAAAAGAGATAAAGATATTTTTGACATATCACAAATAGAAAATAATATTTTTTTAATCAATATAAATTTGTCACTTTCAGATAATAAAACTGTTGAATCTTTTTGAAAAACTTCCAATAAAATTAAAGCAGAATTTTTATCAAAAAATTCTATATTGTTTAACAGCGACTCAGAAAGAGTCATAATATGTCGTGGTTTAGCTGATGAAAACTCTTCAGAACAAATCATAACTTTGTAATAGGACTTCAAAAAGGAAGAAATAGAAGATAATTCCTGTATTTTAGCAATTAAATCACAATATTCAATAATCCATGCAAAAAGCCTATTTATTATTATACTATTGAAACAATTTGACTTAATATTAACAACCCCATATCTGATAAGGCTCATAATAACATTTAAAAAAACAGTAGACCGAATTGTAGAAAAATCATGACAACGATATCCACACATTAAAAGATATCGAAGCATCCCCGAAACATCTATAAAACATTCAGGAAAACATAAATATTCCAACAACCCTTGAAGTAGAACTTTTAAAATATAACCACGAATCAAGCTCCTATCTAATAAACACATAAAGACTCTAAACTTTCGTAAATGTAAACATTTCTCACTTAAAGAAGTTCCTAATTGACAATGTAGCATTAAATATCGAAAAATATAAGCTATTATATAAACATCATTTAGTTTATACATTGGCATGTCGCTATATTTGCAAAGATCCCATATACTTTTTAAAATACACCCAACCTTGTAAAATGGACGAGATGGCTCAGGAAAAAAACTATCAGAAATTCCAAAATCACTTATTTCATCAAAATTAATTGCCTCATTTTTCAAATCAAACTGACAAAAAATTTTCGATATAAACATTTCATCTTTCATGGATCCAAATAATACACTAAGTATCATAGGAAATTTAGATCTTAAAAGATACGTAAACTCCTCATCATCCAAATAATTCTTACAAAAAGAATCAAATATTAATGCTGAATCCATATTCTTTTCATTATAAGATAACAAAACATATCCAACTATTTTATGAAAAGCATCTCGAATCTCTTTTTTTAAAGATACTTGAATTAAATTAGATATATCAATTAAATACTCATTTTTTCCAAATAAAATAAGCTGAGGAATTATTTCATCAAAATTCGAAGAATAAAAATTAATGTTAGACGAAAAATTTAATACTTTAAAAGGAAAATTATCCAATTTTCCTTCAAAATTCAGCCATGACCAAATAACTTGAGAACGATAAGCATTAAAAAGAGATAACTCGGATTTCAAAGATAATATTTTACATGACCATTGTAAACATTTTAAAACAAAGAGAGAAATGGAATCTAGTTTACCTAATTCTATTAAATTATAAAAAGCAGCTTTTCTCACATATTCAGAAACAACTAAAATATTACTTAAAATAAGGGCCCGTAAAGCAATCTTTTCAAATTTTTCCTCGTTTATTTCTAATTGACTAATAATATCAAAGTAAACTCTTGAATGTTCTATAGGATCATATTCCTGAAAAACAAATTTAATCATCATAACTGCTGAATACAAGATTCCTAAATCATGATCCTTTAATAATTGCAAAAATATTTCATTAGGTGCTATATTTAATGATTTTAAACTTAAACCGTGATCTTTACTAATATTATAAATAGAATTTAACAACTTCAACACCCGAATTCGCGCATAAAAAGATGCTAAGCAATTTTCTAAAGTAATTTTCAATATCCATTCAAGAATTTTCCCAAAAACTTTTCTTAATGGAGAGTTATTTTCACTAGTTAACCACTTTTTAACTATAACCATAAGCAAATCAGCTGAAACCATTAAAACAACATCAGATCTTTCAAATTCATATTGTGTTAAATAGGTTTTTGCAAAATTTTCTAAAATCTCAGATATATCGTCTTCAGTCATCTTATCAATTGAAGATAAAAGATAACTTATTAAAAAGAACCCGAGTTGAATAAGATTATCACCAATTTGATTCTTGAAAAGAATAAATAAAACAGATTTTTGTAAATGAAAGCCTGACATATTAAAGATATCTAATGATTCGCTACCCAATAAAACAAACTCTAAGTATAATAAAACAGAAGCTTTCATACTATTAACAGAATACTTCGCATCAATGTAGTTTCTTAGAAATGGAATATATTTTTCTATATTTTCTTGATAAACTATTAATGGTCTATCATCATCATCATCCATTATTACACGACTAGAATCTTGCAGTTGGAAAAAACTACTACGCTGTTTTAATATTTGCAATAAAGCATAAATTTCTTGACGAAATAAATTCAAAGACGTCTTGTTGAGATAAGAGTTCTCTTTTGTAAAAGAAACCTCAAAGCTTAAACGAAAAATTCCATTCAAACAGTAAAGTACAGTATCAATTTGATCACGCGAACAACTCTCAGAAGCCAAAAACTTTATTATTTCTTTTACCAAATTCAATGAAATTTCAATAAATTCATCCATATTTTTATTGATACTGAGTATAAAATATGTAAATAAAATAACAATAAATGAAAATTCAACAAATAATCGAAAAACATCTACATTAATATGAGTAGACTCTTTAAGCAATTCAGTCCATCGACTATGAACAGTTTTAACTGTATTCTGAATAGGTAAAATAATAAACATAACCCTTTCCAAAACAATAAACTTACTTTCCAAAACAATTTTATTTCTTAAAACCTCAAATTCATCATATAAATCTTCTTCATCAGAAATATTTAATTCTTGTATAAGAAAATATAGTAAAACATTCTTAAAAAAATTTTGTCTCAAAGAAAACAATCCAATACTACCGAATTGACAATTCTGCCTATTCTTAATGACAAATCCAGAATTCAAACAACAACTAATAAGAAATTCAACATGTACGGAAAAGTTAGAAAAATAACATATATTTGATCCTTTTAGAAAATCCATAGAATTCCAGCGTGATAAAAACCATTGTAATAAACACAAAGATCCATTAATTCCAACTAAACAATTGTTCTGTTCTAAACGAAAAAGAAGAAGAAGAAGAAAACGATAGCTATCACCAGAAATAATCGCAGGGCCATTTATCTCAATAGAATCAAAGACATGTCGAAAAACAGATAACATCATTGCAGTATCTACCAAATCAAGCTCCAAAAAAAGAGAAAGCACATGACATGCTGATCTGCATGTAATTGGAACAGCAGACTTCCGTAAGCATAACTGTAAAATATCCGTATTTACTAAAACATCTGAGATCAAGCAGTTTGCATGATGATAAGTTTTTTTCCAAGATACAAAGCTACCAATACCCAAAAGTGCCCACGTCTGCACAATAGCGTCATTATCCGAGAGTAAATTTATAAAATGACGTAAAATAATAGAAAAATCATCACAAAAACAAACCTCAGCTCTTTCAAAAAAAAAAACCATTATTTGAAGCCAAAATATTTTGGTAGAATTAGATGATCTGGATACATTATACCCAAATTTCTCAAAAAAAGATAAAACTTGATGTACTTTTAAAGATTCATCATTATCATTTTTACATATATATTTTAAAAAATTGGATCCCTTAGACTCAAATATCTGAATTATAGAAGCAGCTATTTGAAGAATAAAAAAATATTGTTCAGATTTCTTTGAAGTCAAAGATAAATCTAAACAACGTAATGAAGAACTAAAGCAAAAAAAAGACCCAACATTTCCCTTTAAAATAGGAGAATGAAGAGTAATATCATTTATACTCAACATTTCTTTATCTTGCAAAGTAATGTAATCAGCTTGAATACAATGAAATAAATTAATTAAATCTGTCTCTAAAACATTTCGACATAATTCATTAAATCCTCTATACCAATGGGGATATGCCAATAAAAGTCCTATAATCAACTGATTCTTTAAAAGAAAAGACTTTGTATTCCAAAGTTTTACACAAAGCTTTATCATAGTATGAGCAACTTGAAACAAAAACTCAAAATTATTTATCATTATTTTTTGAATGACTGAATTAAGAGCAGTAAAGGCAAACAAGTGAGCATTAGTTTCTGAACTATAAAAAGATAAAAAATTTAATAAAAAATTCACAAGATTAAACAAACAATCACTTATTGGAGCAGAAGACCAACTAACAAGAACTTGTAAACAATACATTAACTCAATACTCTCATGTTTTATACGCTGTACATGTTTTAAAGGTTGCCTGTATTCTTCCAATAACTCAATATCACTAGACAAAACGTTCTTGTCAGAAAATGAAAAACTACCTTCAAGATTAATAATAAATGAGGAACAAAATAGAATTAATTTCTCCCATTCGTTGACACTAAGATGTTCTACATGTGGAGGATAAGAAAGAATTAATTTTAGACATTTAATATAGTCGATACTTAATGCTTGATATAAAGTTTCTTCAGAAATAGACAATGTATCGATAATATGATTTAATACAAGAGAAAAAGTTTTTACTTTCAAAAATTTGTTTCCCAACTCAATAACAGATCGCAAAACCACACCGTATTCTTGAAGACGAGCAAATGTCATAGAATTATTTAATTTCCCTCTCTGAATGCTACTATATTTTTCGAAAGCCACTGCCTTAATTAAGCATTCCAATAATCTTTGGTAACATTTTTCTCCAACAAATTGCATTTTTCTAGAATTGTTTAATATAAATTTTAAATTACGCAGACCATCAATCCTTATTTTAGGTTTCTCAGAAAGTAACTGTTCACAAATATTAAATAATGATGCTTCAGTCATTAGTATCAAAAATCAATAACAAAATCCAAAAGTATTAAAGTTTAAAAATGATTCAAAATTTAATATCTTTTCTAAATAACCAATAGTATAATCACATTTGTATCAAAAAAAGCATTTTAACATTTTATAAAATTTAAAAAAAAAATACCTAAAAATACGACTTTTTTTAATAAATACATGAAGTCTAAATATATATATATTTTAATAAAATAAAAGTTATAGGATATATAAAAAAGTAATGCTTTTAGAAACATGGGATCCAGATAATTATAAATTGCTCTATGATACTTTATTAAATTTATCAGAAGGAACCGTTATTCCAGAATCATTCTTAGAACATCTTTTGAAACCATTCCATCAAGACTTTAAAAACCTTTTACAAACACCAAAGAAATCAGAACAAAGTCTAGAAAAACTCAAATCAGGTATATTACAGCTTATTTTTAGCATATCTAATGAAAATAGGAATAATATATATAGATGGCACAAAATATAAATTAAACGATACTTTTATTTCAGAAGCACTTCATGTATCAAATAAGCTTAATCTTGATGAAGTTCTTTCTGCAAAGCTAGTTCATTATGGAATTAAGAATTCAAAAAATCTAGACAGATCGATTTTACAGACTTCCTTGTTTCTTTTTTATTCAAGAAGAAAATTTCTTTTAAATAGTCTATCAATGATATTATTATATGCAAAAAATGATTTAGGAAACAGAGAAATACTGAAATATTTTAAGCAAACAGTTCAATTTATTTTTCAAAAAAACTCTGAAAATCCTAAAGAAAATCTTCCAACTTATCCAATGAAATGTTTACAGGCTATGGAAGATTTAAGAACACAAATATCTAATATTTTTTATCAAAAAAAAAACAAAAATTTTAACGAATATAGTCAAAACGATGAATATATAGAAGAGATAAAGCTAAGAAAGGAATCAATGTTACAAGAACATGAAATTTATGGAGTTCTTTTATATAGACTTTCAAATTTAAATATGGTTAATATCGATGATTTCGAAAAGATTATTCATAGGATTTCCCTATTTGATGAATATGACTTACTTATAACTCATTTTTTTCCAGTAATAATTAATTTTATTGCATTGGGAGGAGAAATATCTTCACAAAATGAAAACGAACTGGAAAATTTTACATATTACGATATAGAAATTCTTCGTAAAATCAACAAAATAATCAACTCAGATTATCAAAATGAAAAAAAATGGGGAATAGGTCCCTTGAAATCAATTATTCAACTATGGTGGACTACCAAACTCAACAGAGTTTGTAAAAAAGAGCTCGATATTTCAGTGCCCTTTAAATATAGCAGTGATATATATAATCCAAGTAAAGAAGCAATATCTTCTGGCGCATTTGAGACAATGATAAAAAAAATAATAGATGTTCTTCGTTTTGAAACCAAAAATCTTTTGCGATTAGAAGATTATAAATTACTCTTAAACTATCCAAAATTCAAAGAGGGAATGGATTTTCCAGAATTAACGTTTTCTAAAGCATTTCAGGAAATCATGCTTTATGAAATAGAAAAATTTATTTATTCTTTTATCAGTGATATGCCTGATTTATTAAAAAATATGAAACTTGTAGAAGAGGATTTGATAATGACACAAAAATCCTTAGATTTTGATGCAGATGACAAAATCGAGTCAAGTTTAGAAGCATTCTTTTATCTTATTGCCTTAGTTTATGAAAACCGAAAAGATTCTGCACTTTCATTTTGGCTAGACCGAGAAAGTGATCTTTATGGATTTATCCTATGGTCGTCACAATGCCAGACACCCTTGATGATTACTGCATTTTCAACAATGCTAGCATCTTTAGGAAATGGGCCTCAATGCAGTACTTATGCATATGATTTCTTAACAGAAACAAAAGGAACAGAGACTATGAAAGCACAAAATAATATGACAACATGGGAATATATTTTCGATACACTGAAATACTATGTTTCTCAACTAAAAATTACACATTTTGATTCTTCTCTTAGCTCTTCTCGCATGTTGACAGTAGCTATTGACTTTTTAGAAATTGATCACGACAGCAGAAGTATCTTACGGTCCTATTTTCATCTAATTACATGTATTTTATCTAGTTGTCCATATGTTTCAAACATGGTTTACAAAAAATATAATCCAATTCCTATACTTTTTGATTTATTAAATTGCCAGCTCTCAAGTGACATGTATTGCGGAATATTACTGACATTAACATCATTTTTATCTGGAAAAGAGTTAGAAATTAGAGATACAGTATGGAATTTACTTGATCAATGGATATACCAACAAAATAATGAAATTTATTTAGCTCATACCTCATATACAGTGCCTAACAAATTCAATGAATCATTAAAATCATACACAAAAATCGATCAAACATTAAGGGTATTTGTATCAAATTCTCTATCCTTGGCTATAGCTTTTGTTCTACTACTAAATCATTTAATTATATCTATAGACGACTTAAATAATATTCTTCCTTTTCCAGAAAGTATAGGATTAAATAGGAAAGACCCTGGAATACAGCCTTTTATCGATTTAGTAATGGATCTTTTTTTAACATCAAATTCACTAATATTGGATAACAAACTTGGAGGATTACAATTATTTTCGGAATGCTTGAAATTTATTCAATTAGGGTTAAAAACATTTAATCTAGATATTGCTGAAATCGCGAGTCTTAATAGCATAGAAATGAATAAATTCATTAAAACATCATCCTTTTCATCTTACCTAAATTTGCATCCAGGAAATAGGATTATGCAACATATGTATCGCAATAATATATATATATGTTTATTTGATTTTATTCATATTGCATTAGAAGTATTACAAAATACGGAAAGTGATCCACTTTGGTTACTTTGTTTAGATACATCTCTTAATATACTAGATCTAGTATTACATTTACAATTACCTTTTTTAGAATGGTTTTCATCTATAGCTACATATCAATCAACATATATAAGTTCAAACAATCATAACAAACCAAACTTCGAAGCATTTGAAGATATTATGCTTTTTCATCTTAATGTTATAGTTTATATATGTTTATGTATTGGATTTGATTCTTTAGATATATCAAAAACTGCAGTATCCATTTTAAAGAAATTATCAGATTCCCCACAATTAACAGATACAAAAAACTATAAGCATTTCAACAATTTTAAAAGAAATAGATTATTAGGTATTCTTGAGACTGTTGATGAATCTAAAAGAATAAGATTTGGTGCTATTAATCTCATTCAAACAGAACAAAACCGTTTTTTGAATACGTCACATCTAGATCAAGACACCTCAGGTAGAATTTTTTTAAAATTTCTTGCCTGGGATTTACAAAAGAACCAAAACATTCCTACAGTGTCTCATTTTTTTTTAGGTTTTCAAATGTTAAATGACGGTACATCTGATATTGGAACAGAAAAAGGGGAAATTGGCTCTGAAATTTCAATTTTACATTGTTTATTATCTTTTATTCAAAATTCTTCAAGTATGGAGGAAACTTTATTAGATTCTCCAAAAAATAACTTATCAAATACTATTATGGAAACTGTTATGCATATTATATTTTTATTATCTAAATCAGAACTAACATCAGATATTATGTATGATATTTTGAAAAAAAGAGATGATATTCTACTAAAACTATTATTTCCTGGGCCATTAACTTGGATACTACCAAAATTGGATTCTTCCAACTTAAACACATTTTCACTAAAACCTGTTAAAATTCTTCTGTATCGTAGTTGGCTACTTCATACAATAGCTATTAAGCTACGTAAAATGATTATATATAATGCCACTACACTTCAACAATGTTATACAAAAGCTCTTACTTTTTATGATGAAGGAAACAAAAATGATCAAAATGATTATTTACAGTCATTAAATAAAGGTATTAGAATCTTAAAATACTTAGATATCCTTGAATTGGATATAATAACTGATGACCAAGAATTTATTTTAGAAAAAACACAACAAATGTTTTCAAATATTCCTAGATCTTCAAATTCATTATATGATATAAAGAAAATTAAGACGTATATGAAGCTTAAGGCTTGTGAATTCCAGAACAAAGATTTCGGTAGCAAAAGAAAAACATTTACAATTGTAGAAAAAGATATAATTTCACAAATAGAAATTTCTAACATTTTGATTGAAATAAATAACGCTAAATTACTTTGTTTTCAAGGATGGAATAATCTACTGGGAATTTTACTTGAAGACTGTACTGTTCATTTAACACAATCGCAAAAAGATTCTCTCATTATAGAAAGTTTACGAATTCTTACCTCTAAACTAACAAATTTTAGTAAAAAAGACGAAAATATTATTGAAATATGTAGCTCATCTGTCCTAATTTTAATTCGACATATCACTAAAAATACAGTATTTGAAGAAAAATATTTTCTTTTTCTAAAAAATATTTTACTTGGTATTCAAAATCCAAATACGAACGAAACAATTCGACAAAATTTATACGTAGCCGTTATATTTTACTTGAATATAATATCTGGTCTAAAATTTCAATCAAATCAATCACATAAACTTTTTGAAAGTTATACAAATATTTTTAAAGAAAAAAAAAATTCCCAAATAATTAAGCCATATTATAACCAATTAATTCACGTTATATGTAGAGATGCTATATATGGATCAGGAATGTCGAAAATGCTTTCTTACTTAATCCTTAACTTAACAGGAAAAATAGATACTATAATATTTTTTGGTCCTTTATGGGACACCTTAATCCATCAAAATTATCTGCATATATTTATAACATCATTATGGGAATGTGAAGAATTAAATGCCCTAATATTTACAGAATTTGGTAATATTCATAGTTTATAAAATATTTACTTATTTATCTAGATAATTCATTAGAAGGAACTATTATAGAAGCAAAACTTAATTTTATTCTTAGAGTAAGCCAAACAAAAATTGGCGCACAAGAAATTCTAAAAAACGAATTGTTTGATTACTTAATAGATAAAAAAGATTTTATTCAAAACAATTTAAACAATATAAGAAGTATTTTTCATCGTACTTTTTTTAAAAAAGAGAAAAAAACTAACAAAATATAGCTACTAAAAAGGACCATCAAAACATTTTAAATAGACGCATGCATTTAATTTGCATATTATTAAGAATATTAATATCTTGTATGATTTCTTTAGGCTTAAAAAATGCAATAGCACATAATGTTGGGGAAAAATTTTATACAGCATATCGTGAAATTATCGTTTTTTTCAAGGAGAACTACTCTAAACATCAAATAGAAAATAGTGAAATGACAGAAATATTAAAAATAACTAATACACTTGAAATAATTTTGGAAAATTACAAGCCTTTAATAGATTCATAATTAACACAGAATAATCTATAGTTATATACAAATTCAATGTATCACTATTCAATTATATAAATAAATTTATAATAAAAAGATATATTAATAAGTGTTAATTTTTAAAAATAAATTTCGAAAATATATTATCCGATATTACGATCCTTAGAATTTATAATTAAACAATGGATAAGCCGACTCCTAGAATCAAGTAATGATTTCTAATTATATTTCTATATATTATTAAATGAAATCAGTGTTTCTCTTTGCGAACAATTTGTTGATCAGACTGTACGAATGATTGTTAAAGTTAAAAAATTAAAAGGAGATACTGCTTTAGTAGATTCATGTGGGTTGATAGAAGTTCATTTAAATCGCGTAAATTTCATATTAATTTAAAAAACAAAAAATTTAATTAATTTTTATAACAGGATTCTAATTTTATTGAAGGAAATGCATTTGAAATAATAGGTAAAATTAATCCAGATCTTTCTGTAAATGTTTTAACTGCTATAAATTTTGGAAAAGACATAGGTATAATTGCAGATGAAAATGTTAAGAATTTACATTTTCTAGATTTTGAAGCAGTTAATTTGGTTGTTCAAGTATCCCATAAATACCATGAATTATTTTATTAAGCATTTTTAATAATGAATACATCGCAAATTTATATATTATATTTTCTCTGGATATACACATATTCTGTTTGTATCTTCTAATAATATATTATTTTTTTGATATACTGAATTCAGACTTAGTCATTAAAGTTTTCATCTTTAAAATATTTAAATTCCATTATAAACACATTTATCTAAATTTTAAAAGTCTAGATTTCTTATATTAAAAACATTTTCAAGTCAGGAAATATTTTAAAACATTAAATAATTTTTTTTAAACATCTATTCTTTAGATTTTTTTTAAATTCTCATATTTAAAAACTTGTTGAAGAAATAAAATGACAGTGTTTAAATAAAAATTGTAGCTAAAATTCAATAAAAAAGTTCAAATACAATACTTTTTTAAGAAAAAATATCTTTATAAGAAATAATGTAAACTATTAAGAGATAACAATAATAGAATATTACCAATATACATTTAAATGGATTAAAATCTACACTAAAACAGAATAAAGCTATGATTTTAATAAAACGAAATCCTAATTTTTAGAAAACTATCATAAACTTAAAATCTAATCTTAATTTTATAATATAAAAATTCAAACATTTAAAATAAAACTATCAAAATATATGAATACAAATGAATACAAAAATATATAGGTAACTAAATAAATTATTAAATAAAATCATATTATTTGAATTTTTTATACATTTTAATAATATTTTTAAGTGAATAAAAAATAAATATAAATCAAGTATTTAAATAAATATTAATAAAATACTATTATTTATTATTACCTATAAAAATATTGTTATATTATTTTTTTTCTCAATTTTTTATATAACAATTCTTAAAAGGCTATTAAAAACTATTTTAAAAATATTTACAAAAGCAAATCATATCTATTTTTGTCATTTGATAAATCAAAACTAGTACTTTTTATTCTTTTTTGCATAACGCATAACTTCTAAAAAAATACTAATCTTTTAAATGATTTTCTTTTTTTCTTTCTAGAATTTATAAAACATTAACATTTATTGTCCTTAATTTGAAATTTAAATTAAATATTAATAGATAAATATAATGATAATAATTTTCCATATATAACAAGATATTTTTTTTCATGTAACGAGACTAAATTTTCTTAAAAAATTATGCCCAAAATTAAATAATATAAACTAAAAATTAGTAAACATCTATAAATATTTACAAGTTATATATAATTAACTAGTTCAGTTATTTTCAAAAAATTCTCTTTTCTTTGAACACAAAAAGAAAAACTTTGAACATGGATAAATTAACAACTCAAAGTTATACAAAAAATCAACTGTTTTTTCAAAAGAATGTACTTCTCGACATTATAAAATTTTGAAACCAAACAAAGCGTATGCACTATAGTAACTTTTGCTTCTAAAAGAAGATAATTTTATTGTTTTCTCATAGTAATAAGCTTATAATATTAAACATAAATCCCGTAAGAAAATTCAACGAATTTTTTGAGTTTAACCGAAAAAATAGTAAATCAGGGAAAAAATATTTTAATCCAAAGAAAACATCTAAAAATTTTATTAATCCAAAATTTGTATTACGAAATTTAGATTCATTCTATTATGTAATTTGAGACTAAATAGTATTACGATTAAAGAGAAGATTCTAAGAAAAAATATAAATAATTTTCTAATTTATTTAATTTACTGACTTTAAAACTACAAAAGATGTAATAAGGTACCTAGAAAATTCCAGAATTTTATATATTTTCATTAAATAAATAATCTACTAATGAATCATCAAAAACATTCACAATAAAAAATCTCAAACCAAATTTTTAAAATAAAAGAACTTAGATTATTTATTGAATATGAAATATTTTAAAATATTCATTTCTTCTAAAGAATTGCTAAAAAATTGTTTAAATTTCAAAAAAATATAGAATTAAGTTCAAATATTTTAATTTAGAAAATCATATTAAAACAATAGAAAAACGTATATGAATAATACTAATAGAAATCTATATAATATTTAAAGACAAAAATAAAAAACTATTTAAATCGTATATTCAACTGAAAAAAATAAGCAAAATTCTTAAAAGTTTAGAAAAAACATCATTTAATGTATTCATAAACAAAAGAAAACCTAAAAAATAAATTAATTTTTGTTTAATAACAATCCAATTTTAATTTGATAAATATCTTTATGCTAAAAAGCGTTATATTTCTGAGAAACAAAGAGGAACTGAAAAAGATCTTGCTAGAAACAATAAAGATACAATAGAATTATACAAAAATATCAAGAAAAACATTTTAGTTTATCTAAAAGTATGATGGATTTAGTCTTCTACACTTTTTCAATCCTACATATCGTGTTCGAATTTAATAAAATACTTCATTATATCCTCTAAAAGTATTTAAAAAATAAGATTGTTATAATTAAAAATAATACAAAAGAAAAAGAATTTATATTCTATAAAAGGCATATTACAGTAATTTACTAAAAAATTTCTTTGTCTAGGTTTTATTAGAAAAGTAACAATCACTGAAAATCAACAAAAAAATATAAACTAGTTCAAAAAAATTAAAAATAATAAAAATATATAAATTTAAAAAAAACCCAAGTGAAGTATTTGAATCAATAATCTTTCTAAATAGCTATTAAAGTAGCTAATTTCAAATACTATGTTAATTTATATATAAAAAAAGATATGGAATAATTAAAAAAGCTTTTTCCAAAAAGAGTCTTTTAAATATAAATGTGATGAATAATATTGTCAAAAAAAAAGGAAGAAGACAAAACATTAAACTGAAAAATGAAGATTCGTAAAAGAATAAAAAAAAAAAACAGAACAGTTAAAAATACTTATTAATTCAAAAAGGACTAGAAAATTAATAAATAATATAATCCTAACTAAAAGAAATACTAGTAAATTCATTTTTTCATCACTTGCAAGCAATGCAAATATAACACTAAAATCCAATTTATATTTATCTAAACAAATACATAAATTAAACTCTAAGGACTAAAAGCTACTTTTAAGTTAGCAAAGAAAACACTAAAATAATATTGAAAAAGAAAGAAAAATGAAAGTTTTGCAATTAAATTATAATTTCAAAAAGGATTATCCAAAATTAGAACCGTCTCTAAAAAAATAGATAAGTTTTATAATAAATTAAAACTATTAGAAATTAGATCTCATAACATAACGACTACAAAATATTAAAAACTACGACGCCAATAAAAGAAAAAAAGGAAATAGAACAATGTACATTTACTCGGACAACAGATACATGGGTAACGAGTACATCGTTGCATACGAGTACGATGACAAGTACATCTACAGTGACATCAACGGTGACATTGACGTCGATGCGAAAATGCAAACCTACGAGATGTACGAGTGATTCAAGTAAAGAAACAGAAACACAAAAAGAGGAAGAGAAAGAGGAAGAAGTGAAACCGAATGAAGGAATGAAAATAAGAGTTCCAGAGATAGTAAAAATAATGTTGTTGGGAGTGATGGTTATAGGAATGTTATAAAATGAATAAAAAAAGCCATTAGAATGAAAGTCTACATATATCCATTGTTTATATATGATATAAAAGATGTAGAAGAATGATGTATAAATTTTTAATAAAGAATGAAGAATTGCGAATTGAAATTTTGATTATTTTACCCCGCAATTTTACCCCGCGATTTTGCTTTATAGGGTAAAGTCCAAGCTTATCATAAAAGATTAAGCAAATGTATGCTTATCCTAAAAGAATTAGCAAACCTATACTTATCGTCTAAAATCATTTCAGGATCTATTTTTCACTCACCTACTTATATGCCACTCAGGGACAAGCGATGGGTAGAGGAAGTCGCCCAGAAAGAGGCGGCGATGGCACAGCCGGTTAAGAGGCAAGCAGCAGGACAAGCAGCAGGAAATGATGAGATTAAGGAGGAACAGGTTTTGGGTTTAATTGTGAAAAGTTATTATAGTGATGATAATAAATGCAAGGCAAACCTCAAACAATATTGTGAGGAATTGAAGAAAATAGATGGAAAATTGGAGAGTGTGGATGTCAAAGTTAAGGGACTTTGTGAAAATGGAAAAGAAGGAGAAAAATGCAAAGAATTAAAGAAAAAACTTGAAACTGAATTGGGTGCTTTTAAAACAGAAGTTGAAAATGCATTGAATAACCTAACAGATGAAAAATGTAGAAAATATGAAGAAAAATGTCTATTATTAGAAGAAGCAGATCCAAATAATCTTGAAGAGAAGTGCGTTAAGTTGAGAGATAGATGTTATCGACAGAGACGTCAAGGAGTGGCAAAAGAAATTCTTTTAAGAGCTCTTGAAGGGAAAGTTAATAATAAAGATGAATGTAAAAAAAGAATGAAAGAAATTTGTCAAGGATTAAGTGAATATAGTGATGAATTAGTGTTTTCATGTTTTAATTCAGATAAAACATGTGAATACCTTCAAAAGAATCATGGAGATAGTTGTAAGCCTTTAGAGAAGGAACTTGAAGATAAAGAATTAGTGGAAAAATGTCAAGAATATCTTGAAAAGTGTTATTTTTATGGATCAAGTTGTAGTAATTCAAAATGTGATAAAGTCAAGAATAAATGTAAGGAAAAAGGAATTGAATATGAAGGACCAAAATTAGATTTTAGTCCGGTTAAAGAAAAACCAAGATTTCCGGAAAAGATTGAAGTGGAAAATCTTTATAAAAAAGAAGAAGCTAAGGGAATTATTGTTGGAAAACCAAAATATAAGACGTTGCGAGATTTAGCATTATTGTTGATCAAAGAAAGGAATGGAAAAGATGAGGGAGAAAAATGCAAAGAAGCGTTAAAAGATTGTGAATCTTTTAAACACCTAGATTATGGATTAGAAGAATTATGTGGAGATAAAGATAAAGAGGATAGATGCAAAGAATTAGTAGAAGTAGAAGATAGATGTACGAATTTTAAATTAGAACTTTACCTGAAAGGATTGTCTACGGAATTTGAAAAAGATAAAGAATCAGATTATTTTTCATGGGGACAGGTATCAAAATTGGTTAGTAGGGAAGATTGTATAAAGTTTGAATCGGAATGTTTCCATTTAGAAGGTGTATGTACGAATAAAATTGGAAAAGCATGTGAAAATGTAAGAGTAGCATGCTATAAAAAGGGACAAGATAGGGTGTTGAATAGATACTTTCAAGAAGGATTGAAAGGGCTTATTGGTGATTTAGAATTGGTTACTGAGAATCTTGAAAAATGTCAAAAATCGGTAGTAGGTAATTATACAAAACTTAAGGAGGATAGAAGATACTTTACAAAGTGTCATCTACCAACTAAACTATGTTATGAACTTTTAGATGATGTAATTCTTCAATCGGAAGAATTAGAAGTAGTTTTAAATTTGAGAAGAGATTTTCCAAGAAAGGAAGATTGTGTAGAATTGAAGAAGAAGTGCAAAGATCTTGAAAGTGATTCATATTTGAATCATGAGAAATGTGATACACTGAATAGACGATGTGAATATTTAAAAGTTACAGAAGAATTGAGAAAAAGATTATTAAAAAGAGGAGATGATGCATTAAGAACTCAAGGAAATTGTACGGCAGTATTAAAGAAAGAATGTGAGGAATTATCTAGAAGAGGAAAAGAAGATTTTAGTGTTTCATGTGCTTTACGAGAAGAAACATGTAGTTTTATGGTAGAACAAACAGAAAATGAGTGTCTTTTTTTAAAAAATAACATAGAGAATGGAAAAATTCTAAATAAAATTGAAAATGGAAAAGGAAATGAAACATTGGTTGAAGAACTCTGCACGTTGTTTGATCCATATTGTCATCAATATATAGAAAATTGTCCAGATAGGTTGAAAAAAGAAAAAAATTCCAATAAGAATGGAGTCTGTTTACAACTGGAAGAGAAATGCAAGCCATTCTTTGAAAAGTTAAAATTGGAGAATGAGTTGACGCATAAATTGAAAGGTAGTTTAAGCGATGAAACTAAATGTAAAGAAACATTAGGAAAACATTGTACTGAATGGAAAAAAGAAGGGAATCAAACATTGAATAGTCTATGTGAAGATGCTAAGAAAGAAGAACTTTGCAAAAAGTTGGTTAAAAAAGTAAAAGAAAAATGTCCAACCCTAAAAAATAAACTGGATAATGAGAAAGATGAATTAGAGAAGAAGAAAGATGAATACGAAAAGGCGAAACAGGAATCAGAAAAATTTGCGAAGGAAGCTAAGTTAGTATTATCAAGACCTGAACAAGATGGACAAGGTGGAGGATCAAAGGCTCAAGATGGCAGTGTTCCTAAACCAGTGGGACCACCGGTACAGCCACCAGCACCAGCACAACCAACACCAGGAGGCGTACCAGCACCAACACTAGCACCGCCAGCACAACCAACATCAGGAGGGGCACCACTACCAGTACCACCAGCAGCACCAGGAGGAACACCAGGAGGGGCACCTGTACCAGTACCACCACCAGCACCAGGAACACCACCAGCAGGGCCAGCAGGGCCATCAGGGCCATCAGGAGGAACACCAGCAGGGCCACCAGCACCAGGAGGATCAACACCAAGTGGAACGACAAACACGAGTAATGTTATACTTGTTCGGAGAACATTTGTAAGTGGAGAAGTATCAGAACCAGAAAAGAAGGCATTTGTTGCAACGGCGAGAGCATTGGAATTGTATTTAGAATTGAAAGAGAAATGTAAAGGTTTGAAAGGAGACTGCGAGTTTAGAAAGGATTGCCCGAAGTGTGAAGCGGTCTGTACAGAAATAGACAAGTTGTGTGAAGGAATAGAAGGATTAAAAGTTACACCGCATCATACGGTGATATCAACGGCGACACAGACAACGACGACGACAGCAACGACAACGACGACGACGACAACAACAACGACGACGACGACGACGACGACAACGACGGCAACGACGACAGAGTCGGTAGATGGAGGGAAGGTAACGGAAGAATGTACATTAGTTCAGACGACAGATACATGGGTGACGAGTACATCGTTGCATACGAGTACGTTGACAAGTACATCTACAGTGACATCAACGGTGACATTGACGTCGATGCGAAAATGCAAACCTACGAGATGTACGAGTGATTCAAGTAAAGAAACAGAAACACAAAAAGAGGAAGAGAAAGAGGAAGAAGTGAAACCGAATGAAGGAATGAAAATAAGAGTTCCGGAAATGATAAAAATCATGTTGTTGGGAGTGATTGTTATGGGAATGTTGTAAAAAGAATGAAAAAAGAGATTAGAATGAAAAAGTGCATATATCCATTGTTTATATATAATATAGAAGAAGATGTAGAAGAATGAGGTGTAGATTTTTAATCTAGAATAATGAAATAAAAATTGAGAATTGCCGTTTAATTATAGGAAAAATGGAGAAAAAAGCCCGAGAGTTAGTGGAGAATTGTTAAAGATGATAAGAAAGTTTAAAGAAGTTTTTATTAGAGATGAGATTTTGGAAGAATTTATTGAAGATGATAGATTAGGAGGGGGTTTTTATTAAATTTAAGAGATTAGAAGGAAGTTTAGAGAGATATTTATTGGAAATGAGATATTAGATAGAGATTTAGGGTTTTTTTATTAATAAAAATGATAAATGAATGTTTTGGATGATTTTATTGAAGATAGTAGATTAAAGTTTTTATTAAATTTAAGAGATTAAGTGGAAGTTTGGAGAGGATTTTATTAGAAATGAGATATTAGATGGAGATT